AAGTTAAAAGAACACAGACATGACAATTACTCCAAACACAGCCATCAAACTCAGTACATTGACACAATTAAGTGACTGAGAGGCGTTTGACCCTATTCATGCTTAGGAGATGTGGAATATTTCGTCAGAGCGTCTCGGTCCCCCTGGCGCCCATCAGTATCTGCTCTAGGCAGAATGCTCTCTAGTCCAGAGAGCAACAAGCTGCAGATCACTCTGCACACTCTGATCACAGCACACTCCTGCTGCTGCCTGCCACATTCCTCCGCAGTTCAGAAAATACAATATTGAGACTCCACAGTGGAAAACTCAGCCTGCTTCGTCCTCACTTTGAGCACGGGCATCATAACGGACTTATGTTTACTCAAAAACATCAATTAGGACTCTTTAAAATAAGTTATTATATTTACTCAATTCTATCTCTTTTCAAATGTCCAACAAAAGCTCAGTATTTCATACATGTCGCTGTTTCACATGATAAGGATTTGTTTTGTAATCTGTGCTCTGTGGTGTGATCCCAAGAGCTGTATCTTCTCTTTGTGTCTTGTTCGCCTGTTGACCTGTGTTGTGATGTGTTGTGATGTGTGGCGATGTGTTGTCCTGTGTTGAGATGTGTTATGATGTGTGGTGATGTGTTGTCCTGTGTTGTGATATGTTGTCGAGTGTTGCTCTGTGTTGTGTGTGTTGTCCTGTGTTGTCCTGTGTTGTGATGTGTGGTGATACGGTGTCTTGTATTGTGTGTGTTGTGTGTGTGGTGATGTGGTGTCCTGTGTTGTGATGTGTGTTCCTGTGTTGTGATGTGTGGTGATGCGGTGTGTTGTGTGTGTTGTGATGTATTGTGTGTGTGTTGTGTGTGGTGATGTGGCGTCCTGTGTTGTGATGTGTTGTGTGTATGTCGCTACAAAAGGGCACAAAGGCCAGTTAGACTGTAAGAACAGTAACAAGCTGTGGAGGAGCCCATCTAGTGCGTCTGGTAGTTAATTGATCCAGTTTGTTTTTTTTAAGAAACCAGGGCATCAGCGTGTTCCACACTCCCACCATCCCTTCAGGAAAGAAGAGGAGGTGGGA